TACTTATTCGACATTAAAATGTAACTGCTGTAACAAAGTTTCTATTTTAAAATGTTAATTATAATTCAAAGAAATTGTTATAATATTTTCATCTGTTATATTATTCTTGTTTCTAAAAACCACATCACCCATTGCTTGTAATTGGTGTTATTTGAAGTTCAATATGAGTGGGCGCTTAACCACCTTAATTAACACTTGAATGTAAATAATGTTTCATTTCTGCTTTTCAATTCCAAATAGAAAAAGCTAGTGTCTCAAATATGAATTACATCTTAAAATGTAGCTATTGCAGTTTTTCTTCCATTTAAAGAATAAAATTATAAACAAAATCAGCAACGGAAATTGATTTGTTGCCACCGCATATTTTTCAAATGTATTATTTCAACAGTTTTATTGTTCTAGATTGATAGTGAACAGAGTGGGATTGGTGAAGTATGTGTGCCACTTAATTTTCATGGACTGGGGAAAGTTGGCACTTATCTCTGGTCAGCTAAATATTATTTTAAAACGTATCAAATTTTAAAATTAATATTAGATACATGTTTGCCCATTTTATGTGGATCCGTCCTTCTTATCTAGATTGTTAATTTCTAAAGATGTTACCATTTAAACGATTTACTTTATTTAATATAACCTTTCATCAGGCAATTATTTAAATGCATAAAGAAAGAATCGAAATAAGTATTCATTACAGATTGTAGATAACAAATATTTATTTAATAATAATGTGTGAAGCGTAATGTTTCTAATAATAAAGCAGTAATTGTTTAATATTAGATTATTAAAGGCCAAATTATTAAACTAAACACAAACATCATATCTTATTACTGATAAATACTAAGGAGAAATAAATAATATGTTTTAAATTTCTTAGACAATACAGTTGCTTGCGATGTAACTATCAGTTTAATTATCAAATTTTGACAACATTGGTAAAGTTTAGATTTTAGCATTTTATTTACATGAAAATTTAAATATTAAATTTGATTAACTAAATACTGTTAACGATGTTATCTAATAAAAATTTTTTACATTTTTTGTTTTTTCGTTCAGGCTGCTAAATAAAATCTCAGTTCTTCGAACTGGTTCATTTCAAACCGTAATTTCTGTCCAGATAAAAATTCATTTAGGTATTTTACTGGCTATAAAAGAAATGCTTCTAAAATTGAGACATTTCGTTGCCTGTTCTTGCGTAAACTAAAAATTAAAACAAAACAGAAAATTTTAATCGAAATCCACCAGTCCATTTTTCAGTCAATTGTAATATCAAAGAGATTCTTAAAGAATCTAAAAGTTGCTAAATTTAAATACCAAACGAATCTAGTTTTCCAAGACATTATTCTTCAAGTATTAGGTGTTTTTTTTTATTTTAAAATTTACTAACATCTCAATATGCGTATTTTAAATGACTTAGAATCTCTTTGAATTTCCTAATCAATAAGAAGCTAGAGTTTCGCATTATAAAGCACACAATCTAAAAACTTCTCTAAACGTTTCTCTAACTTGATTTGTGGATTTTGATTGGTCCTGACCTAATAAATCCTACAAAATGGAAGGGAATTTACCCTAATATACTCTAATGAATAAAATGTTAGTCTTAGTGAAAAAATGTCTCCTTATTCAATAGAAGTTTTGTAAAATGTAAATCAGTATTTAAAACCTCTTGAAATTAAATATATTTAATTTAATAGAGGATTAAGTCAGAATAGATTGTAATTAAAATTATTACATTTTTGACTAAATAGATTTTAGCGTTTCGATTTCCACTCCAGCAATCGTTTACAAAAAGATTATTTAAAAATTTTAGAGTGTATAACCGCCAATGTTGCGGTGAGCGACGCATAAGGTTAAACACAGACAGAGCGGCGCGCGCCGCGTCGGCGGCCGCGGCGGCGTTGCAAGCAATCTCTCGTCTATGGTACTTATGTTGTGCAACACAGACGAGCCGTCGTTCGTCAGCTCGCCACGTCGGCCGCCGCGCGGCCTATGCTTAGGCACACCAGTAATAGATACCTCGTGCTTCAAAACAGACGTGTGACTGTTTTGCAGTGGTTTTATTTGGAATAAAATAATATATTATATATTATAGGAATAAAATAAAGAAGAAAAAAACAAACTTGGGAAGAGGTTACGCACAGTTTTATTTCGAAAAATGCTTTTCTTGGCAATCTTTAATTTCATTAACTAACGTGTAAAACGTTCTTTTATTTTTTCATTCATTTACTATAGAATATATCCAATACCTGTGTTTCTTCGTCAATAGTCGTCACTTTCACTAGATGATTCTAGAGACATCATTATACCATTCTACGTCCAAAACTCGACTAGATTTGACAACACCGAATACAATGGCAAAACTACTGCCGCTGTTAAACCGCCTCATGTGTTTTAAATTGCGCGGCAGCCGACGAGGCCCAGACGCGGCGCAAACCGCCCTGTCTGTATTTAACCTAACTTACAGTCAGTCGAACGCCGCGCACGTTCGTCACAATCAAAGGAATGGCTCTCTTAGATAAAGGTTTGTTAGGTTCTGCTGAGCTGAGAGCACAGCAGAGCGATAGCCGTGTACGTCGATGGTGTGCGCTGAAATCAACTGCGGTTTGATTTGGACGCAAACGTTCAGCTGAGCTCACAGCGTACACATACACATCTATACCAAAATTATAATTGTATTTTTATGTAGTTATTATTATTGAAATAATTAGATGTCTTCTGTTGTACGGATTTTTTTAGTAATATCATCCCTTATAAATTGTAAGAGTTCCAAATAAATCCCCGAAAAGTCATTCTCGAAATTTTTCCATATTTTAAAACAATTTTCTTTCGACTGTTAATTTAAAAGCACCTTCTGTATTACGACTTAGAAAAACTTCGTTTACATTTTTATTCCTTTATTTAGATATGACATCACCAACTCTTTCACTTCCTTCTCTTCTTGGAGTATTAAAATGATCGTAGCTTTAAGCAACAGCCATGCTTTGGCTGGAAAGAAATGAGGGTGGATTTTAGGCCCTACGAAACTTCAAATTCTGATTATTATCTGTGTTTGTGCATTATTCGTATGTGCTTGTGTGTGAGTGAGCGTTCGTGTGTTGTGTTTTGAATATGTATTGTGTATCATTGAAGACGATATTTCAACTTGGAAAACGATTTTCGGACTGAAAATTGAACCGGTCAACTGTAGTTAGTCAAAAATGTAATTTTAATTACAATCAATTGTGGCTTAATCTCATATAAACATAATATTTCAATCAGATATGCTACAAGAAAACTGACAAAATCTCTTGAAGTTACTTTTTCTCTCTGAAATATTTTTTATTTTTCTAGTTTTATCTTTTATCTACCTTGTTTAAAATATTTCATATAACCTGTTTTCTATATATTCTTTCTGCTTATTTTTATTATTCAGTATTTAATGATTTATTACTTTACTAGTCAATTAAAAGATGAAAAACAATTAAAAGTAATATACTCCACAAATATAACAGACAAATACTATATAAGACTTTATTTTCTTTTTATGTAATCAAAGTTTTTTAGATTTGCAGCATGCAATAAATTAGAAATTTAATGTAGTTACATGCTTAACTCAAGCAATTTAAAAAGACTTTTTTCGTAATAATTGTTTAACAAGACTATTGTAATTAATTACAAGCTTAAAACGTTAGAATAGATTGATATAGTATGGTTTAAATAATTAATTTTATTGTATACGTATGTATAACATACGTAAAAGTAGTATAATTATTTTTTGAATTGTTACGTATATAAAACGATACAAACTTTTTGTTAATAAGTTTTCACTCTTCCATTTTGCAGTAAGCATATAATTAACCGTCAATTAATTTTGTTTTTCTTCTTAAATTAGATATCAGTCTCAAGGGGCAAATGATAACACATATTTGCAATAACGAGTATTTGGATAAAGTATAAAAAAAAACACGGAAGCCAAAATATATAAGGGCAAGATTTTGCTAAATCGTAACATAATTTTAATAAATATCGAAATTTTAAATTTAATCAAGTGATTTAGGATTATTTTCTAAAATATGTTTTAATAAAAAACAACTTGTTTCTAACAAAAAAAAAAACAGCAATGATGTTTTTGTTTTTCGACAATAAAAGCCAAAAAAAAATTGATATACGAAGAAAACATTTATTTTGGTTATAAAGGTAAGACTTGTGATTCGACATGTACATAAAAAAGATAATTACCTAAAGAACGAGAACATCTAAAATTGCGTTAGAAATCAATAAATTGGATAAAAACAAAGAGGGCCGATTACTTATTTAAAATCTAGAAACAAAAATTATAAAGAATTTATTAACGTATAACAAATAGTGACACTTGTCTGAAAAAGATAGTTATTTGGTAATATATGCAACTGTAATGTACTAAAAAGAAGATAATTATCACTCAGTAATATCCCTAAAAAAACTCGCTAGAAGTCATGTGTATGTATCCAATTCATTAAACGCTTGAATCTACTTAAAGACTAGTATTAGATAAGGTTCTCAAATTTACTTATACCTAGTGAAGAACACTTTCTACTTATCAAACTCAATAGATTTAAAAATTTAAATCTACATGATTTTATATTGTCCACCATTTCATAATTTGATATCATTTACGATTTAGTAACAAGCCGCCCTGAACCAAACAGCAAGCGCTACAAATAAAAACTTTTCTAGATGAAACAAATCACATATTAAAAAAAAGCTACAATTAAAAGAAAAACAGTCCGATGCCATTATTGTAAAACATCTTCTTCCATTTCGTATAATTGTTTTACCTAATTACTTTATGTCAAACGTCGTATATAAACGGGACTCGATCACAGATTGAAAACACATGGTCATTTTGACTAGCGAGACGTCCAACAGATACTTCTACTCCAAATGAAAACAGTCTTCTTGAAATAATTATGAGGGGTCCCAACTTTGTGGAGCCCTACGATGGCTGGGACAATCTACTTCTGAAAATTGAAATAGGCAGTTTACTAACTAGTGGAGTGCATGGGTACTTGTGTCGTCCCTGCTATAGGTTGTAAAGAATTCGTTATAACTGACACGGACTGTGGTATCGTAGTTAATATGGGGATTGTGGTTAAGGTGGGAAAAGTGTGCGCCGGACTGCTGTGATCTGAAGTCGATGTGTGTTGCAATGATTCTTCAATTAGGTTGGCTATTTTATCACGGTCTATCTGAAAGAAACGAAAATGTTATTCTTCCACAATGAAATTGGTTAATGTATTTATAGTTGGATAATAATCATTTTAGCTTCTGGATAAATTTCATTGAGGATACAATGACGGTATTAGATTTTGATTCGATACAGAGCAGCGACAAGCCGAATATACGTATTTCGACCTCTTTAGGTCTCCTCAGTACGGTATAGCCACTACTCCGTATCGAACCAAAATATTTTCCCGTCGTAGACCATAGTTATTTTAAATAACTATGTACAGACGTAACTACGCCATCTAAGAACAAAAAGAGAAATCATACGATTTCTACCTGGCGAAATCGAATTCAAATATCAGCCACCGTGCTTCCTAAAACTTGCGAAGCAAACAGCTTGATGAATAAATCGGCAAGGGAATCTAAAATTGCATTCCAAATGCCGTTCATCATGGCCAATATTCGTAGTGAATTCGATTTCTGGTACTTCAAACAAAGTACAGAAATAAAACACAATGACGGTATTATGGTGCTAAGATTTCACTTTATATGTAGGAACAAAATTAAAAAAAAAACAAAAAAAAAATGAAACGAAAATATTCTAAGAGTTATTAAATCACAACGCTAGAAATGGAGATAACACATTATCAGAAGAGCGGCAATGAGATGATAAAAAAGGATCGGCATAGACCACAATCCAATGAAGAAGCTAAGAGAGCCCAAAAACAACAGGGTGGAATGATTATGGAAAGCGACAAAAAGTGATGAAAGTAAAACACTCCAAAGAGACATGCAGAAAAAGGATGGAATGGAAACAGATCATGAAATCAGCACGGATACACAATAAATCACAAATAGAGAAAGAGGACTAATCCAGAATAGTATAACAAGCTACGATCCGAATGAGAAGAGCGACAATGATAATGATGATATTATTAATATGTATTATTTATTTATTATATTAATATTAATAATGTTAAAAATGTTTGAATAAAAAGTATACACTTACTTCATTTATAAAACCGTAATGAACTAATTCCTGTGCCAAAACTTTTGGATTATCTCCAGGTGATATATAACTAGTTAACTGCCTGTTCATTTTATCATCCATTCGGAGTACAATAGTCAACTGTAAAAAAATATATAAAATATTAATTAGTATATATATAATAAATCAGTGTTGTTAAATTATTTAGATCCTTTTCACTTTATTTTTGTCTATTAATTTAGGAATGATATTATTGATTGATTTAAAAAAAAATTGTAGCAAGTTTGATATTTGTTTCGACAGAAGTCTTAGTCTAAATTCGATCAGAAGCGTAGCAAGAGCTGTCGTAACAATAATTTTTGTTATAATGGACTTTTCATAATTATAGCCTGAGAAGATTTTCTATGCAGGATCCCTTCTGTAAAGCCTGTAATTGCATTTATAAATATAAATATTAGTAGATATTTGTATAATGCACAATATTGACCCACATAAGTATTAAATAGTATTAAATATAATAAGTGTATATATATATATATATATATATATATATATATATATATATATATATATATATATGGTTTCAGTTGTTTTCCGGGTTTGACTCCACGTTAAATAGTTTTGGTTTTTAGAAAAACCATTGTTTTGGCGACATTTCGGCATTTCTTTCACTTGAGACCTTAGACAAAACCTGCTGACAAATTTGCGGTGATATTGTATCCTCTTATTGAGTCACGTTTGCCAGAACATATGATTCGACTATTACATCTTGTTTCCGTGTCCATGGAAAATATCGGAGAAACTGCAGAAGTTACAACTTTAGGAACAAAATTGAGCGAGCTAATGAGCTTTTTACAGAGTGAATTTCAAAATAAAGAAGAAATTGATTTATTGACGGAAAGTTTAGTCGGTATTACCGACTAAAAATAAATATAAATTCAATAGCCTTGTTGCCAAGAAAAATGTTAAATTATCTATGCAGGGAACTGATCTACCACTGCTGGGTTAATGAATTATGAGGTTTACGGAAAGTAACTGCATGACGTTCCACACGTAACAATAAATACATTTTTTAGTGTTCTACATCTATTTTCAATACTTGGAAATGTTAAAACAAAACAGCATCTTCCTTATCCTTCCCATAAAGGGTATATTCATTATCCACTGTTCGATTTCATTCCGCTTACGCTTCCAATATCCGAACAGCTACTTCTCCGACATCTAAATCTGAAGAAACCTTCTTTATTGATTCACCCTTGTCCAACCTCTTAATTGTATTCACTTTTGTTTCCAAAGGTGCAATTACTCTCTTCCGCTTTCCAGTCATATTGTACAGAAAGATTCTCTCTTACACTCACACAAATCAACTTATGAAAAATTAATTATGAAACCGAAACTAATAACTGGAATAAATTCACAAAACAGTACATAAAAGGAAAAATATTACCGTACAGATTCTTAATTTGACGATCTGAACGACACCAAACAAATCGGTAGTTAAATTCACATTGATAAACATAGAAAGGAACAGGAAGTTGTAGACAAAACACCACACAGAAATTTCTGCGCATGAAATCTCTTTCACATCAGCTTGACCTAAAGCATACCTTACAAATAATTCTCTTCTTATCAATAATCCAAAATTTTCAATTGATTGCCCATATAACAGCTGCCGATATAACTTCTGACCATCGACCCTTTTTTTATTACTCGATATTGTGATTCAACAAGTACGACTATAAAGGTAAATAAAGGTAAAACCAAGGCAAAATTTTGCCTCGGTTAACTGAGGGGCTCGGATAACCTAGACTCGGATAATCGCGAGTCTACTTAAAATTTAATTTTGTATTATTTCTGCGAAAACGCAGAACGGTAGTGCATTTACGAAAACTGCTATTGTTTCCCGGGAACTCTTACAAGTAAATAATACAATGAGTTTTGTGAAGTGGAGAGTACGGTACTTAAAAGTATATTCGAAGAAGCGCAAATTTAAATTACCTCCAATCGAGTTCAAAAATTATTCAGAGATTGCAGTCTAGGTTTGGCATAGAGGATCTCCAAATTGAAGTTTACATTAGAGAGCTCTCAAAGTTAATTTTAAGTCGAGTTTCTATAATATATATATATATATATATATATATATATATATATATATATATATATATATATATATATAATAGTAATATTTCTGCTCTTTATGATATGATTGATAGTCAACTTCGTTCACTTGAGACCTTAGACAAAACTGCTGACAAGTTAGCGGCGATCTATTAAGTCATGTCTGCCAGAAAATATGATTCGACTATGGCATCTTATGTTTTCGTGTCCATGGAAAATATTGGAAAAACTGCAGAAGTTACAACTTTAAAAACACACTTTAGAGTGGGTTAATGACATTTTTACAGAGTGAAGTTTAAAATGAAAAAAAAAAAATGATTTAGCAACGGAAGGTTTTCGTTTACTGGCTGAAAATGAATATAAATTCAATAGTCTTATTGCCAAGATAAATGTAAAATTACAAAGAACTGATCAGTCCTTAGCGTCCGCTGATGGGTTAATAAATTATGAGGTTTACAGGTGTATATTTTTATTATAAGTAATTTTTTGTACTTGAAATAAGTTTAGTTTTTTACAAAACTAATATGCACAATTTAAAATGTTTACAAAACTAAAAAAACAACACAAAAAAAAACAAAACAACAATTTAACTTCAAAGGTAAATGAACCTCAACGCAACACGATACAAAAATTAAAAAATTATATGGAATGATGCAATCCAAAAATTAGAATTTGTGAAACTTCAAAAATAATACGATAGCTAATTTCAACTTACATTGCAGAAGACTGCCGACCGTGAGCGAACTATACCGATTCTCCCGATCGTATATTATATTTTAATTTTCAGTACTTGGCCTCATTGGCAACACTGTCGCTGTTCAGATAATTAAATTTCGAGAAAATCAAAATATTAAAATATGATGCACGTGCTGCCATCTATTTAAAAAATTGTTAAACGTTAGTTTATTTGAACACCGCTCATTTTAACTGCGGCGTGAACATACCCCCTTAACTTTAGGTAGCATTATAAGTGATATTAATAAAAATTATAAAAGTAGTGTAAATGAAGTTACCGATCAAAGCCCTACAAGTGTCGCCGGAAAAATGGCGTTAGATGAACCGGAACGAACTAAACCGCGAAAAGACAGCCAACCTTGAGGTCAAAATACTTTTGACAGATCAGCAAGGTGGAGGTACCAACCCAAATAATTGGGCGGTCAATTTAAAAGTTTAAATGAGTTTGGATGACTACCCGGTTGTAAAAGACAAAACAGTGAAAGAAACTGGTATTGTAATAGCAACTCCTCTCACTAATCAGCCTAGATTTACAAACAGGAGATTTTCATTCAACCTTATATGTATGTAATAACGTTAATCATTATGGCTAGTTAATCAGCCACAGGTGGTTAACGACACATTAATTTCCACGTAAAATAGAAATAAAATACATAAAATAACTAAATAAAATAATTAAATATTCTTTACATAACTTATTATTACATATGCAACTTACATTGCATTTTCATACACTGATTACTCAGATTAGTGTGAACAATTTATACTTAAATAAAATAATACAAATAATGTAATTGATTCATAGAATCCTTTGCAAATTACAGTTCCAAGTACATGAACCTTGGGCTGTTGGAAATTAATGTGTCGTTAACCACCTGTGGCTGATTAACTAGCCATAATGATTAACGTTTTATTCGTACGTAATATAACGTTTTATTCGTATTTAAACGTACTATTACTTTTATTATTTTATCATTCTTATTTACGCATTTCGTTGATTTCATAGATATTATTTTCCACCGATATTTTACTATATTTTACTTTATTTTACTACATTTTACTTGATTTTACCATTTTTACTTTCCGTATATTTTGTTTTATATTTCTACTGACATATTATTATCAAAATGCCTGAAACACGTTCACAAACCCAAGTTGAAATTGAACCTTACAAACTTTCAGAAATATTTTCCATAATTCCTGAGTTTGAAGGAGACCCAATCTCTCTTCCCACATTCTTAGACGCATGTGATTGCGCGATTAAAATGTTTTCGGGAGACCAACGTATTTTATTAACGATTCACATTAAAAATAAACTAAGAGGTAAAGCGGCTCAATTAATAAACTCTAGAAAACCAACTTCATATACGGACATCAAAAATTTATTAAAACCTTCATTTCGGAGATAGTAGAGATCTCACTTCTTTAATTCATGACCTACAAAAACTTCGACAGTTATCGAATGAATCACCCTTAACCTTTTTCAACAGACTACAAGTTCTAAATGCAAACATGCACGCGTCATTTCAAAAATCAGGTATAACACAAGACCAAAAGACCGCCCAATGCACGTTAATTGACTGTATGGCTTTAAATACACTTTTAACTGGACTAGAACCCCGCTTAGGACAAATAATTAGGGCCAGTAACCCTAAAGATCTTATTGAAGACAGTAACCGTATCCGACGTGAATTTCAGTTATCGTATTTCGAATCACAAAAATCAAATAAAGATAGCTAAAAGAATCTGAAACCTTCCCAACCGATCAGAAGAAACTCATCTAATTTTTCTAAATGTACAAGTTGTGGTCGTATTGGCCATTTAAGTAGCAAATGTCGCTCATTACGTTTTCCTTCTTACCGAAATCAATATAGCGGTAGACCACAAAACTACCAAAATAATCAAAGCCCAAAACCCTTCCAATCAATATAATAGTAGATCACAAATTATCCAAGTAATCAAAACCAATACTCTTCCAATCAACAAAATGTAAACCCACAGAGATCGAATTTCCCTTCTCAAAATCAACCGCAGAATCGGCCCTATGTTATTCAAAGAAATTCAAATTTCCAAAATTTTCGTACATGTCTTTAATGAATACCCTGATGATCTGGTAGAATCTTATGAAGAGTATTATACAAACAATGATCTTCAAACTGACTATTTTTACGATTATACCAATGATACATCTGATTATATCAATGATACACCTGATACTGAAAATTATCAGGATTTTCTTTCGCTACCCAATCAGAACCATCCTCCAGTACATACGAATCTTTCAACCG